CAGGAATCAGCACTGTTTCCAGCCAAGGGACTTTCTACAGAAGAGCAACTGCCTTTTGAGATGATGCCATTGCTACAGGACTGGCACCGCTACAGGACAGACCATCAGGTTAGCCACCCTCCCTTGAAGAGATCAAGGTCATTTGGGGCACCAAGCAGCATCTTCAGCAAAAGGGCTATTTTTCTGGCAATAAAATAATTAGGATCAAAAAGTAAATGTACTCACCCCAGGTAAAGTTTTAATATTGTGCAGTGCATTCTGTGCCTCAAGAGCAGCTTTTCTCGTATAAAATGTTACGAAACAACAACCTATAGAGAGAAATGAAAAGCTTTCAGAAATTAGTGAGTATGATTTGTGAGAGTACAATAGGCAGGGAGAAAAAACAGTGGTTGAACAACACGTTATGAAAGCTGGAAATGTGAATTATCATGAGGCTGCCTGTACGACATGAATAAAAGAAAGCTTGCGTGGTTTAAAATAAAAAGTCACCCCCTGTGCATTGCATCTATAGCACACCTACATTGTTAGTGAACTGTAATCACTTAGAAATTAAGTTAACCAAAATCCAATTGGCTTTGTACACTGTAAATAAGGTTATATTTTTCTGAAGGCTCCCGATTATACTTTGAATATAAGCAAAGCAGGAATTCATTGTTGCATCCCAGGCAGAAATTCAAGTTAAAGCAGGACCTTATTTAAAGGGTCTTATATGTAAGAGCTAAGGTTTGCTCCCCCCCATTGGAAACAAGGTAGGACTGGAGGTAGGGCACTCATCTCAGTTGCAAGAAGGAAGATAAGCTAGAGGAGGATTCACCGCTGGTGGGATAGTGGAGGCTGGTGATGGCTGGCAGCACTAAGTGAGGCTCCATCCGTCTGACCTTCAGTAACGCAGATGGTTTTAGGTGCCTTAATCCCCTGTTTATCCCTTTGGCAGCATGGTCCAACTAAGTGGTCTGTGGGACCAAACACAGGTTGTTGTCACTTTACTGCAAACATGGGAAGGAACTCTTCCCGCAGCACACGCAACCCAGGCAGTTCAACGCCTGGCCCAGGGGGAGGTCGGGGCTCACAGGTAGATCCTCAGGGGACAGCTATACCATGGTAGGCATGGGACAAAGAAACAAGGACGAAGATTTGACTTGCTGCAATCTGTAATGTCCCACAGTAATGAAGTCTGCTGCCAAGGATGCACGGGGCACGTGCGGAGAGCTTACTGCGGGAGGACCTTGCATCCACGTTGCAGGTGGGATGCTCAACACAATATCCCAGCTTGTGACTTCAACTTTACTTCCAGCAGAAGGGAATCCACTTTGAGAGCATCACTTGTGCACTTACGTGCATAAAACAAGATTGCAGGTATAGACGCAAGGAAAATTCACACTTAAACAGCTCCCACCCAGCGCAGTAAATCAGTGATGTAGGCACACCCTTAGAGCCTCATCTCTTGCTACTCTGTCCATAGGGGAAATAGGGTGAGGCTGAATGCAGCCCTTGTCCTGCAGACATGGGCAGCCCCCGCTTTGGAGCCAGGTCACATTAATAAGAGACCCTGAAACTCCTAGAGAGCTCTGTGGCTGCAGATGGGGCGCTCGGTGACCCAGCTGCTATGGGGAGATGGAAAACATGCTGGGTAATGCTGGTTGGGAGGCAGAAGTAGCTACTGAAGCAAAAACCTACTTGGTATCAAACAACATGATGCAGATTTTACTGATAGAAAACAAACCTGTTCTCTTAATCACAGACAGAGATTTGTTGCAACTCCAGAGAAATGTCAAAACCAAACAGTGAACAGAAGAAACCCCGGCTCTCAAGCCTTGGTGCTCCCTTGGAGTGTGACACAGACAAAGGAATCTGTCCTTCGGGCAGCGAGCAAAGCTGCTGCTTGCACCGGTTCCCCAACGTTGACCAAGGTGAAAGAGCACACCCCACCTGATAGGCCTGGTTTTGTTCAACCTCGCAGCATCCCGGTAACAGCAAAGGAGACCTAGGAGAAAGCGTGCGCAGGAGACCGCAGCGAGCACATCTTAAGTACCCGCGCGGAGGGGCCCGTACCAGCCCTTGGAAGGAAGGGCTGAAGCAGAACGCGCCCTCCGCTGCCTCTCGCTTGGCTCCAGCCGTGATTGCACCGGGAACGCTCCCTCCCGCTTTGCAGCCGGGCCAGCGACGACCGTTACCTTCACAACAAGCACAGGTAATCGTGTATTCCCAGCTGGAATACAGCGAGTTTATCCCTAACGCAGAAAAGCACTCGCAGGCAATACAATACACTGGCAGGCAGGTAACGCAGACTTAACGCAGCTGAGAGGAACGTTTTTCATACTGCCAACAGGTTCCCTAAAATTTCACAGTTTACGACAGAGACGGTTTAATAATTATTTCAGTGAGCCGAACATTGTTTGGCAGGGATGAGTATTACAGACAGCTGCAGCCTGTGAAGGTTTGAGCTTCCTGTCAGTGTTTCTAAATCTTCTATTCCACTGTAAAATTCTGCAAATTTAAATTATTTTACTCCGGAATGAAAATGGAAAACAAACCTGAGTTTGTGACATTTAATGGCGTGACTTTGAGAAAACATTGCAACATTTTTCTATCCTGCCAGCCAGCTCCAAAGTCTATCTTCTATTGTTCTTCATTTGGTTTATTAGCTTTTTAATATAAAGCTTTTTAACCAGGAGAGAGGATTCAGAGGGGAAAATACCAAGCAGTATTCAGGACTTTGCGACTGCGATGTCCTTTACCATGGATCCAAAGAGTTTCATTTTAGATTTCAGCTCTGTGGGTTTATTCCGATAAGGAGAAGTTTGGAATCTATTGGTTTATCATCTTGGCACTACTTGAAAGAACTGTACTTGAAAGATGAATATACTGTGAAATACCCTTTAACTAGTCATTTTTTGGGAAGTAATAGTGCAGGAGAGAAAAATGTCTCTGTGAATGAGGACTGGGAGAAAACAATAGCTTAATGGGAGACGTGCAGATGTTTCAGGCAGATCATCGGACCCTGACAAAAATGGAGACTTCTAAGCTCACAGATCGACACATCTGAAAATGCACATGGATAAAACCTTCCTCTGGACTCATTTTGTTCGTATCTTCTCAAAAAAGTACAACAAAACAAGAGGGGGTTTGCTGTGGTTTGAGGAGAGCATAGGCACCAGTTGTGGACACCCGATTTTGAAGCTATCATCTGCTAAAGAGGTCAGGGCTGGACACTAAAGAACAAATAAAATTAGAAAACACAGGAAAACAGAAAAGGCAAAAGTACACACGGTCCCAAAGGAAACGCTATAGCTCAGCCTACGGACTTTCTGGATGTGGTTGCTGCCAAGTTACGCAAACCGTTGCAGCTCTAACAGGTCGGCTTTGAAGATGTCTCCAGTGTAAAATCCCTTTGGCTCAGTACCGCATCCTGCAGGAGAAAGTACCAAATTCAGCCTTTTCTGCAGAAATATCGGAAGGGAAGACGCCTGTGCAAGAGGATGGGGCTAATGTGTGCTTTAAGACCGGTAGCTGGCCCCTGCTGAAAGACAACTAGGAAACGACTTTCCTTCCTCCATTTTTCCTAAGAAACTGTAATACTGCCAAAGACAAACCAGTGGCACCACTGGAAAAGAAAAAGTGCATTTCCTAGTAGGAGAAAAGAAAAAAACCCCAAGTGTCCTCTCTCCAGCCCCCTGCACACATAATCTTGGCTTCATCACCAACAAACTTGACAGCAGCTTGAACCACAACTACAGTTTTCTGACATCCAAATAACTCGAAGCCTGACAGTGATAACCTTCTCCCCTCCTAGTCAGGACAACTTAAAAGGTGAATTGGTTTGTGGACGTGGTTCTGCCGATCCTCAGCAGCCTGAAATAGAGCCCAGTTTAACTCCATGTGGGCTAGTATCTTCTCAACCAAAGAGGAGCTTGCGCTGCCAGTCCCGTGCCTCCAAAGCGGCAAATCTCCTGTGTTTTGGTAAGCCGGTTGTGCTCTACTTGGAACCGTATTTACTACAGCGTAAGACATCTCTTCTTTGTACCTAGAAAAAATACTGAATGAATCACGCGGATCCCTACAGTCCCTTAAGGACATCGGCAACAACTTCGTGGCTATCCTGCCAGATGCTTGAACAGACTGAATAAAACCTGCCACCCCGTGCTGCACAGCGTCTAACGGCAACAAATGGGACGCTGAGAAACCAAGGCAGAAACCAGCCCCACTTCTCAAAGCATCTGACGAGAAAACGCTGCAGTGTGTACACGACAATGCTCAACTTCAACACCTCATTAAAAAACAGGGAAAAGATCTCTTATTTCAGCTTGTTTTCTCTCGCTCTTTTTTTTTTTTTTTTTCTTTTTTCAAAGGAAATTTAGTGCCAGAAAAAGACCTCAAGGTCCCAGCCACTGGGAGAGAGTTGACACATTCAATTCTCCATGACACATTCAATTCACAAGCCCCCGCTCAGGCTGCCAAAGGCACCAATTAGCACCGGTGGTGGAGATTTTATTTATTTAATTTCCACATAAACCTGTTTAGCAAGACACCGACAGCAGCAAACAGCCTTGCGTATGGCTAGAAACAGCTTTACCTGAGTCACTGTCAAAGATGGCAGCAACTCGACTACACGGGGATCATGCAGCCAACGCTTCACTAAAGCAACCATTTAGAAGTTAGGGCTGGGCAAAAAAAAGCAAATGGTGAGGACTCTTCCACCACTGCATCCATTAATTTCTGCTGACAGTGAACCTGGGTTTCTGGAGGACGTTTGTGTGCGTTGTGGAATTACGACAAATTGCAGAGTTTTCACCGTGAAACTTCAAAAAGTGCCATTCCTCCTACGAGCAAGAGGATTTTTTCAAAGAGCTGGTAGTGACCTCCTGCAACGGGACCTCTCCTCCCGTGCGACTTCTGCTCTACGACCCAAATTAGCCCCTTTGTGAAACCCTTGTCCCCATCCACCCAGCAGAGAAATGCGGCTTTGTTAGGCTGTAAGATACAGCCCTATGACATCGCTAGGAGCTCCGTCATGTCATTGTTTTTATCCCTTTCTCCTTATTGAAACACGGACTAATTACTCCGCGAGAACTGTTTACGTTCCTAATTTTGAACACCTAACAAAAGGAAGCTCTCCTCCACTCAGAGATGTGGCTTACGCGGTCCTCGCTGGCATTTAACGGCACTGGGATCTGTGTAAGAAGCTTAATCTCTCAGCCAGGATTTCATGCTTGAATGAATACGGCAACCTCCATCTTGCTTCGGGTGTGAAAATGTCTCTCGCAGCTCCCTAAACTGAATCTATAGTTCCTAGGTTAAAGTTACCAGG